TGCCGTTCACATTTCCAAATATATGCGACTTGTAATTGAGCTCCTGTGTGAACTGCGGTCATACAATGCAAATGTCCCACATGCGCAGTAGAGGATGCAATGACATCACAGGCCAGCGTGCTCTGTGTTTACGGAAGTAAACATGGATGGTAGTGCCGGAGCGCATCTAACAATCTTTCCCAACCGAAAAAAACAATCTTTTCAAGATGGTTAAACATAATTACTAATCTCCGCATCATCGTCTGCCATAGTTGTTGTTTTTCTTGCAGCTTCTTCATAGAAAGACCCAGAATAGTGACCTTTGTCGGGTATTAATGGCGTTCAGGTCGGATGAATGCGACTTGGCCGTTCAGACACAGGTCGCATTTGAAAAGATCAGATTCGTATCGGATTCAGGACCATAGCAAAGTGGCCTGGGTCAGATTGGAAAAAATCGGATCCGTGTTGTTCAGACAGTCATGAAAAGATCAGATCCAGGCCGCATATGGCCAAAAAAAATCGGATTTGGGTCACTACGTTCACTCTGCAGCAAAGTGTGAACGTAGCCTCAGTGTCTTACTCTTGATACATTTTATGCGACTAAAACTGAGGGAGTCTGCGATTAAAAAAAATGTCCATTTTTGTTTTTCAAATTGCTATTGTAGTGCAGATGCAATTAATTGCCTAGCCCTGATTCTTCTGTTACCTGTAAAGAAATACTTCCTTCCTCCATCATCTGTGGTGGCTGCATCCAGCTTGACGTCACTGCATTTTAGGGGTTTACGATCACCTCCGTGACCTGCCGTAAAAAAAAAAAATCAAGAAATGTTGGAAACAAATATTGTAGAAAATTTGCAGTTATTAATTTTTTACAAAACAATTAATATGTTAAACTTTTCTCCTGAAAGAACCCACCAAAGTTGGGGCAGCTCATGAAGTAATGTCGTGCATCCTTGGGGTAAGTACCAGTCACCTCTCCTGAGATGGGATGGAAGCGGGTGAAATTATGTCCGTGGAAACAGTAGTAGTGCTCAAGCCAGCGGAAGGCAGACGTGCACGAGGGCAGGTGTGACCAGGTCTTGGTTTTCACGGTCTTTGTGGCAATATCATACACATGCACATCATGTCCTGTAGGAGGAAACGTCCCATTTAATTCGATCAGCAGTTTTTTGTGGGAGGTTAACTTTAGCTTTCATGGTCAACAAACCTTTAAAGAATAAAACCGAATCAGTCACGCACTCTCCCTTGGGACACTCCACTGCAGCGTCCAGGTGAGTGGGCACTCCAGGAAAATCCTCTTGTATTTGTTTTGGATACCCTTCCTCCAGATTTTGGTTGAAATAACTGTACACTTTATCGTTCTGAAAATCAAATAAGTAACTGAGTTTATCGTGAGATGGCATATAAAATTTCCCTACTCTGAAGTCAAAGCTAGATGTATTGAAGGTCCCATACCTGGAAAAGGTAGATGTGATCGTGGTCATCTGGATTTTCAGTGTTGTGCATGCGGAAAGCGGCGTTAACAGCACCACTCAGCCCCCTAAAGTGCAGATTGGAGAGCTGAGCTGGACCAGTGAAGCCAGTCCACAGATGGTCCCCTGTGATGACAAGAATTGAGGACAACATATTTGAACATAAATTAAAGATGAAAAACAAGATTAAACAGCAGTTGTTGTACTTAATTGAGTTTACAAGTTTACCACACCTATAAAGAAGAGGGCGGTTCCTTTTTCATCGGGTGTGATGGCATCAAACTCAATACCAGCACATCGATCTGGAGCTGCAGGGCTGGAACCTCCATCTAGAGGATCAAATGGTATTTATTACAAGCCACAAAACGTGAATGTATTTCCCATTAGATCTTTCCAGCTTTTCTATCCATGATGAAGAAAAGTATGAAAAATAATTGTAGTTTCTTTGTTGAATTCTGTGTAACTAATGGCCACAAAATTATTTGTGGATCAACAGAAAAAAAGGGTAGAGGGGGAAGACATGCAGGAAAGGTCAAGATTTGCACCAGGGTGCACAGCTGCACATCACTCTGAGGTCAGTTTGTTCAGTTGTCAAGATAATACTCATATTCATCCTTTTCCTCTTATATAGGACCGGGTTTTTGGGTCAGTCTTGGTGAGAGACATAGGCTCTGGAGAAAGTCTGCAGAAAGTTATCGAAGGGTAGACCTGTTTGAATTCACAGGCAAAACACTTCTGGTCTCCTTAATTTCAAGAACTTCAAAGGACCCAGTCCAGGTAGACCGGGTCCTTGGAAGATGCAGCCACAATTCCAGGTCGTCCCCTAGGTCTCTTCTCGGTGGGAACCTCCTAGAACACCTATATCAGAAAAAGATGTCGGAGCCACCTCAAGGGGCTGAATTCTGAGCCTCTGCGGAGAATGCTCCTTTCAACCGCTTGTACTGTATCCATCTCATTCTTTTAGTCAGGACCCTCCATAGCTGAGGGTAGAAACATAGACCGATGGTAAATCAAAATCTTTGCCTTTCGGCTCAGCTCTCTACTACAACAAATCTATGCAGCATTCCCATTATGGTGACACCCGCAATGATCCATCTGTTGATTTGCCTTCTCTCGGAATACTTGAATTCCTTCTCTGTATGCAGGATCTCTCCACCAACCCGAAGGGGACAAGCCACCTTTTTCCGGTCGAGAACCAAGGTCTGGAGGAGCTGATTCTTTTCTTAGCAACTTTTCACTCATCTGTGAACTGCCCCAATTTATTCTGGAGTCAATTCAATTCAGTTTATTTATATTGCGACATTTCACAACATGTCATCTCAAGGCACTTTACAGTTCACCAGATCATACAGTCATTGATTCAAAGTTTTCTATCTAGGGAAAACCAGATGATTGCATCGACTCTTGATTCGAGGCAATCCCTCACCCTAAGCATGCTTATAGCGACAGTGGAGAGGAAAAACTCCCTTTTAACAGGAAGAAACCTCTAGCAGAACCAGGCTCAGTGTGAGCGGTCATCTGCCAAGGCCAACTGGGGTTCAAGCAAGGAGACAGTCATATGGACAACCACAGCGCAGTTATTACCAGACTACACAGAAATGGATTGATGGACACATTCCTATAAATGATGATGAAATACTAAGACGGTTAACACATACTATATTTTCTTTGATCAAGGCTTTTAAATCTCCCAAATGATGTAACTATTAATTGAATTAAACTTGTAAGTAGAAAAAGGTGTATTGGTAGAGAAGCAACATTTTTCTAATTCCACAGCCTTGAAAGAAAGAACTACATTGAAGCTTGATTTGAAATAATATGATTACAGAAGTTACAAAGACTTTTAGGACTTACCTTCAACAGCAGCATCTTGTCTGTGGATGATAAAAAAAAATCTGCTCAATTTTGTTGTTTTTTCAATATAGGATTAAATAAAATTTCTAACTGCTATGGGGTCAATCGATCAATGACGAGAGCCCTTCTGAGCCCTGTTTATCGATCCAGCTGCTAAACTTTGCGAACCAACAGACAAAACTTGTGTAACCAATCGATTACCCTAAAATTCAGACTAATTCTTTGAAATTCGTGAGAGAAGCACCATAACGTTAGATAGAAAGTTTAATGTAAATGTTTGGAAATGTCCCACACCTGCGCCACATTTTTAAGGCATCAAATATTAATTTACATTTATCATAAATGTCCATCAATACTCACAGCGGTGCTGCCAAGGAGAGAGCAAACAGAGCGCACAGATACAGACTTCTGGTCACCAAAAGCTCCATGTTTACTCTGCTGATGTGGTGTCTCACACTGGAACAAGGCTGAAGTGTAGCTGAGCTAGAGTTCAACCTGTGCTTTTATACCGACATGTGCGTAAATGTGTGTGCAGATGGGCCAGTTGGGAAACTCTTAGCCTGCATAGCTTGACAGTGTGTCTGTTTGCACAGATAGAGCTAGAAGTTTCGTTGTTGCACAATTAGCTGTTACTGCCCTTTACCTTCGTTTGTTAGGATTTACTTCTGCTTATTTACATGTTTTTGAATGTTCATGTTTTTGTAAAAGCTGAAATTCTTGAATTTCATGGAGCTTGCAAAGAAAACAAGCTATTTATTTAATTTACATAATGTAAGTTTGACATTTTCATAATGGTTAGGTCAAGATTCAGGACATTCCTTTGCCAGATTATCATAATTACTTCACAATATATTGCATATTTGTTAAATTAAACATTTAAATTGTGATAGGTTCAACTCATAATCAGGTTGTTCAGGTTTTATATGATTAGAAATTTCCAGATCTATTGAACTGAAATAATAAAGAAATAAGGGACCCCTTTTTTTAAATGGAGAACCCAACTTTTCATGTCATTCTGTGATGTGCTAAGCAATAACAAAATAGAGACTTAAATCTATTTTAATGTTTATATTTTTATAACACGAGGCAAATACACTGAAAACATCAACATCTTGTATTCATAGATAATGGTAGTAAACAAAAACAGTTTGTCTGTAAGTAGTTTTGGTCTATATAATAAGTTCTATATAATTGTTTAGAGCTCAATCATAAATATTTACCATTAAGGACATTATTCAAATTCAAATGCTGGTGGTCAAGTTGTCCATTTTTCAAATTTTCACTTCATACCCTTGTACTTGAAAATCTGCTTTCCTATGTCATCCTTCTGTGGCCCACAATAAACCCACACTTTGACAAAAACATCTATAACTACTTTATTGCATGTATTGAGAGATTCCTACTGTCAGATATGTTAGAGAAGAGAAAAATCTCCACTTTGTAAAAACAGAACAGTAGAAGAGTAGCTTATCTCATGACTGACTGATACCCTTGTGTGACACAAAGTCAAAGCTGCCAAACTTTATTCCTTAGCCCAGTTGAGTCTAATAAAATTGAGAGACTAGCCTCTAACAATGATTAACCTCTCAATCATGGATATGATTTAATCTTATAATCAGAGTTATCTGGCTACATTTCCTTTAATGTATTTAGATGATATATCCAGGTGTAGACTACGATGGGATTAAAAATAAAATTCTTGAAGTCTACAACTAACAATAGAGGTAAAAACCCTGTTTAAGGAATATTGGAACACTTTCTCTGAAAGATTACACATTTTCATTCCTTCTGGAAAAAATAAATGCAAGACATCCACAACTGCAGAAGTACCAAATAGTAAAGAAATCCCAAAGCCACAGGTTTTACTATTAACACCTCTTAGGATATTTGTCTTCAAATATATGCCCTCTGTGATTTATTTGTAGCGATAAATCTTGACGCAGTGGTTCATGCTGTCTGAGACAACCATATGGCCATCAGGGAGGAGTGCCAGCCCTCGTGGGCTGTTAAGGTTTTCGGATACAAGAGGCCATCCAACACCCTTTGATGGGTAGATGAGAACACGGTGGTGTTCCTTTCCCCAGTCTGCCACCAAGACATCACCATCACTGTCGATACAAAGGCCCCAGGGGCAGGTCAGGACCGGTCCAAGGCCTGAACACACCCCAAGGATTCTGATGGTGTTCCAGCCAGGTTCCAGGACGCGAATGCATGGGACGCGGCCAGTTTCATTGCCTCTTTCTGAAACTGCTATTAGCCGGGTAGTGAGACAGGCTGCAACCAAGTAGGGTCTGTGATACCCGGTTACAACTGTACGTTCTAACCTAGCCCCAGTTTTTGGATCCAACTTTAAGGCAGTCAAGGTGCCGCGCTTGATGTCTGCGACAATGAATTCATCTTGACATGTAACGGTGACCCCTCTTGGAGCATCCAGGTCTTCATTTGTTGAACCAGTCATGGTGCCACCAAATGTTTGTAGAAGGCGTCCATGACGACTGAAAACTAACAATGCTCGTTCAGCAGCACAGGTCAAGGCGATGAGGCCCTTTGAATTTACAGCCACATCAAAATAGTTACATATGCGTGAAGACCTTTCTGATCCCGAAGGGGAGACTTGCTGCACAATGTTCTTTTGGAGATCCGTCACTTGGATTCGGGCATTACCGCAATCCACCACAAACAGTTGCCCTCTAGCAGTTGCATGAACACCACTTGGCAGGTTGAAGTCAGTTCGGCCTGATCCTTGTTTACCGAACTGTTTGACCAGATAAGCTGTGCCAAAAACAGCTGAATTAGTCCCTTTATCAAATTCTTTAAAACACATGTCAGTGTTGCCTGTCTTATTGTTGCAAGGCAGCGATTGTTTGTTTTGATTTATTTTGTCACCATCGATTGCTGACATGGACAGAGATCTGCTGACACGGTTGACAGTTAAACCAGGTGTAAGCAGAGTTTGAGATCTCGATTGCCTTTTAGGGCTGATGATGCTCTTATTTGATTCTGGAAAGTTTTCATGGCCTTGTTTAAATGTTGAAGGTTCTGAGGTTAGATGCATTCTACTGACTCTTCTCATTTTTCTGCACTCATTTTTGTCATCGTTAACCAAAGGGCTTTCCCTACTGGAAAGCTCAGTGGTGCAGGTTGAGCAGCAGTGGTCTTGCTTAAGAGATTCATTTTGTGGAGAATCTACAATAAATGTACTGCAGGAATCTTCACTGTCACCAGGGGATGAAAGGCTTCCACTGTCCAATGAGTTCTTCTTTGAGAGGCTTTGTTGTGAAAGAGAAAGATGTTTTGGAGAAAGGTCTGTAAGACTGTATCTTGAGACTGAACCCTTGCACCTAGCCTTTGAAAATGTTGCATTGTTTCTTTTATCCTCTTTTTCTCCAAGAGGGCATGATGGTTCATCACATGAAACCATAACAAGGGCCTTTTGCTTTCTTTTACCTTTCACCGTATTGTGTCTCTTTGTTTCATTATGTCTGGAATCAGATTCGTCCCCCTCTGATTCTCCTTGACTGGAGACGAGCGGAATAGCAAGGAAAAGATCCTGCCCTTGTGTGTCTGAACAGACAGATTCTACCTCTTCATCTTGTGAAGATTCTGATACAACGCGATGTCTTTGGATGGAAGACCTCATCAGCCTTTGCTCGTCATCATTCTCTGTAGGGCTTGACAGATGCAGTTTCCGAACAACACGAACGTTTCCACTGTTTGCCTTGATGTTTTCCACTGCTCTACCTCTGTTATGTTGGGGTTCCTTTCGGATTTCACGAGGATTTATGTTTAAGAATTTTGCATCACCAGAGTGCAAGGCGCATTTGTGTCCCTGGTCACCACAGACCCCAATATTATAGGTCATACCTTGTTCGTGAATATCAACCTCCCCAAAATGTAAATTCTTATAATGGGGGCTGGATACAAAATGGACCCTTTTCATTGTTAAAGAGATTTCCCAAGGTTGAGTGACCTCTGCTACGCCTCTTTGAAGCTGATTTCTGTTTGATCCATCAGCTTTAAAACCCCATCTAAGGATTTGTTCTTTTAACTGCCTAATTTTATTAATTTGCTGATCAACAAGTGACTGCACAACTCTCACAGCTGCAGCGTTTTCCCTCTTCACTTGACTAAGATGTCGCTGGGTTTCCCTGTAGTCCTGCTCCACCTTTTCAAGAAGGCGTCGCTCCTCACGTTGAGCTTCAAATACAGCATTGTCCAATTCACGGTTTACCTCCTCCACTTCCGTTTGCTGACGCTCCCTTAGACTCTGAAGTTCTTCCTCGCCTTTCTCCAGTGTTGACAGTGCTTCTTTCACCCATGGAGGAGATAAAGTAGGTGATTGTGGTGTAAAGATGGAGTCCCGTGGGGTAAAGTACAGGGGAGATGAGAAGGTCACATCTCTCTCTTTTGGGGTGCTGAGTGTCAGTAAGGCTGAGAAACCAGGAAGGGCTCTTCTTTCAGAGTGCGACCTTGTGAACATGGTGATTGGTAGATTTGAAAAAGCCAACGTGTCTTTTTTGTCTGTGGAGATAAAGAAAAGCAGCAAACTGAAATAGTGCAGTTTGTACAATCTTTACTATTAGCAGAGTTTTATAAATATACCTCAGATACCTCTAAAGATAGAACATAAAATCCTCCAAACAGCTTTTTATGTCCATGCACACAAATGCTTTTTAAGTATGACCAGCTTTATCAAATTGAGGCATAAAAAGATTGTCCATGCATTTTTTCCCCCCCAAATAATCAACAAAATCACCTTCTCTGGCTCTCATCATTTACAATGACTGAAAGCCATATACAGTTGGGCCGGTCTTCCATCCATCTTTCATTGCGTTTGTGTCCCATACAGATGGTGGGGCCCTTGCTATGACAACCCCAACCACATTGCTGTGGTTTTCAATTATATTATAATACTTCCTGTAAAAACTAACCCTGTAATGCCAAATGTATCATATTTGATACATGCGGTTTCTGAAATGTTTTGCGTCTGACACCTTTTGCATAATTTAATGGTAAAAACTTTGCTCAAAATCCTATTGTACACAATCAGATATGCCTGATAACAGAGGGCAGAAGACTACACAAAAAATAATCTTGACTTATGGCATAGTAATAAATTATTAATATCAAAAATGTATTTCTGTTTTTTCTTTTTACATATTTTGTTAAAAGGCCAAATAAGGACTTCAAACCAAAAAAAAAGTAATTTTCTGTTTTGTTTTATTCTTGGATCGGGCTTTAAAGGGTTAAGTTTTAGGACGAGCTAAAAAAAGTAGAGTAGGTATTAATGGAAGAAGATCATTACTGATGTATGAGGACATCTTGTTTTGAGACACATTTTAAGGGGAATTCGTTTTTAGCAAAGGGTAAAATCCCATCTGCAAAACGTTTGATCCGTTCATACTGATCTTAGATCCTTGATGTGCCATCAACAAGCCGTCCCCATACAAGGGGAAACAACCCCGTACACTGAAACCTTCGCCAATAATTCTTGGTGTGTTTGAAATCGAAGTAGGTGTTTGGACCTTGGTTGACAAACTCTCTGTGATCCTCATTTCAGTCCATGATGTTTTTTTTGGGTTGTTTTTCCCCCAACAATGGGACTTTATGGGACCTTTTTGCAAATGGATTTGCATACATAAGCAATTCATAATTTTTTACTTAAATCTACCTATAGGTCTACTTTGATCACTCTGGAGCATTGGCTGAACTTTTCCCATTTTAGCTTTTCTGCAGATATTCCAACTGTATTTTTCTATATTCCTTTAAACATTTGCAGTTTTGTTCTATTAGAATTGTTTCAAGGTCCTTTTAGCCAGACTTATGTGACAATTGTTTATATACTCTACCTGCAAACCATTGCCAGCTATTAAAATATGTTATATTTGCTTTAAAAAAGACTGGGTTTAAAACTTAATATCTATCATTTGTAGCTAATGAGCCAGACTATAACTTTATTCTCCGCCATCACAGACATCCTTTTGTTGTATTGTACACTAGTTTCTCAAGCCTTCAGGTATTCTAGCTGGCCAGCCTGTTTATATATATGCCGAATGGACGTGTAGCCAGTTTTAAAACTGGGACAAGAGTTTGCTTTCACTGTGACTTCATGTGGACCAGATCTGGTTTCTCACAGGGACTCTAAAGTGGTCTCAGGTTGCCAGTGTTCTTTTTTCTAGGACGTAAACTAACATACTCAGACCACCTACTGATCACTACAACATTATAAATTTGTTCCCAATTAACATTTAGCATGGATTTAAGGCCAGAAATGCATGAAAAATGTTTTAAGACTTTACTTGTGAGTTCAAATATCTAAGAAATATTAATCATCCTCATTCTTTTTTCAAATTTTTATCATATTACAGCCACAAGACAGTCTAGAACAATAAGTGAAAAAACTGAGGTTCCAAAATTTTGGGGTCTAAACTTTGACTAGGCCTAATTTTCCTGGACAAATTAGTTTTTAGAGAACTCTACTTCTATTTGTTAGGTTTTTTTTGTGATGCTGCACCAACTTGTTGTTACATTCCAAAATAAATAGCCTTTTAAGATGATGAAGTTAAATTTGGCACTATTGTTACTATTACTATTGTGTATTGTTACTATTAGATATTAAGCCAAGAAAATTAAGAGTAGGGAACTTATGATCCAGAATTGTAGAAAAGGTTTCCTTCAATAGGGTAGTGCAGTCAAACTGTCCTTAACATATTTTCTTGCATTAATTTTAACTTTTATACTTTAAATAGTTTTAAAAAGGTACTTTTACACTTTTAGTTGAGTAAAAAGATTTAAGTTGATACTTTAACTTCTAAAAAGGTTTTTTGAACAGTAGGATTTCTACTTCTGCTTTAGTAAAAAACATCATTATTTTTGACACCTCTGGTCACTGTTTAGATTCCATACGATTTTCAAACCTTTGGACCTTATTTATGTCAAAATTAAATTGCCCAAGAAAGTTAAATTCTGAAAGGAATTGTTACCCAGTGCACAGCAAACTCTCCTAAATCCTATTTTGTCCTTCTAATTAATTTTTCCACTGCTGTGTGTCACTAAAATCTCAAGAAAATACTTATTTGTAGAAGAAACTTGACAAAATATGGAAAAAGATTCAAGGATATTAATACTTTTGTACATCATCACCATGGATGTGGGTCTTTTAACAGCCTGACAAAGAACAAGAGGCTTTTTCAAAGATAAAAAAGGCAGGTGTCAGTTTACCTTCACATGCTCACACACAAAGAGACCATTGAAAACCTGTGAACTTCTACTTATTTTAGGAAAAGTATGAAATATGTAATATAAAGTAAAGATAAACATATTGGTCAGAGTAATAAAAACTGCAGCTAACTTTAACGTAAAAACAATAATCCCCATCACCCCTCAGGGTTGTTAAAGTTGGGTCAACTATAGTGTTACATGAGAAGCTTAGCTACCAGGTGACCTTAGCTTAGCTGCAGCGAATGGAAAATGTAAACCATTCATAATTTAGGAGGTTATTCAGAATGTGCAGGAGGTTTCCGACTGGGCAAAACTCAACAATAAAAGTATTGACTGTGAGTTACAAAAAAATTATTCATAGTTCGGGAAAAATAAAGTTGTAGAAATGTTAATTCAGATCAATGTAGGTTAGATAAAAGAAGAAAATATATCAAATACATCTCATCATATGTATCACCTTCATCTCATGTTTTATTATATACAGGATTTTAAATTAAAACTTGAATATGCAGCCCTGAGATTCATTTGTAATGTAAGTAAAATGATGTGGGCATACCTGTGTTCAGAGTATGGTCTACGTCCTTCTCTCCTCTCTCTGCTCTGCGCTGCATTCAGCCGTTCGTCTTCCCTCCTCCTTCCCACGGAGACAACCCCATCTCGCCCTTCCACCCTCCCTCTATGGCAGGAGTGAACGTATACAGGATTTTGATGATAATCTCAAATTTTAAACACCCCAAACAAAACAAAAAATAAATAAATAAAAAGTTAAAATAAGAAAAAACACTTGATAAGGAGTAACTCTTCTTATCATCTCATAAATACAATGAGGCATGCTTGAACATGTCGATATAGTCCTAGCTCCTCAGTGGAAAAAAGCAGCTAATAAGGTAGAAAAACAAAAAATGACCACAACAAAAAACAGTTTGCAAAATGACATCCACGTTAAATTTTAATGGATATAGTAAGATAAGAGACTGACAACGTTTTCATTTGACCTTTACATCCCTGTATAGTCTAAAATCCAGTCCTAATATCTACTGCTTTATCAACATTTCAGTACCATACCACTGCTGTGAATCTAGTTAGTAATTATGTCTCTGATTTAACAGACTTTGGGTTTTATTGCAGGAACTGGCTACCCCTCACTCATTCTGTTTGTCGGTATTTTTCAGAAACATTTTGCCTTGAAGTGCCCCACTGATGTTCAGAACTAGGTCTCAATGCCATACCTGTATCAACAAGGCTGCTTTAGAAATGGCACAAACACGCCGAGCTGTTCTGCACCTCACCAGCTGCACTGAAAGTTATTCCTGATTCCTAAATGTTTTTAGATCAAGGATTAATCATCAAATACTGAATTTTGACGTTTGCACACAGCTTCAGTGGATGTTGTGAAGGTGACTTTGTCCAATACTATGCACACAAGTGGCAAGTTTGATGTGCTTTTATTCTATATTCTTAATCATTTTTAACAATATATGGCGTATAAAATAGTGCAACAAGTGTCCTCTATCAAAATGTATTTACCAACTGGTTCATATACGGCCATTTCATTTCTACTGACAGTTTTATGACCTCAATGCATCAAAGTGCATCTTAAATTATCTGTGTTGAAATGCGGATATAATAAAAATCTGTCATCAGCTGTTTTATTTTATTTTTGCCTTTTATTTTTCCAGACATTTTTACACTGGTCACAATAAAAAAAAAAAAAAAAAAAATAATAGTCTTTATAGTCAGCTGAGAAAAAGTGTGGTTTAATACAGACTGCTGCCTTCTGTTGCCGTCCCTTTGAATATTCAAATATTTAATGATAATGAGGTCAAGCTGACTGTCCAGTAACATCATTAGCATCACTCATGGTGGTCTGGTTTAGTGATAGTCACTGTCTGCAATAAGCTTTTAGGCTGAGATACAATATTGAAAGTCAATTTACTAAGAACATATATTGTTTTTACCTCAAGAAAATCATCACATCTATTAGATTTACAGTGTTGTTCTTAGGACTCTGAGTTCTTTGGAGTTGGGCGCCTATAATCGATTTGCTTTGGATAACATCTGATGTCATCTACGCTAAAAATGTCGATGGGATTCAGATCAGGGGAGTATGAAGAATAGCCAATGGTAAAAATATAACCACAAGAGTTATACTGTTGGGAAAAAAAACAGTATGAGAAGCCAGTAGTACATATCTTCATTTTACCACTAGATGGCAGCAAATACAAAGCAGCAAACATCTGAACTCCTAAGGTTAAGTTTTATTGTTTTTAATAAAAATCATCAACCCATTCATCAATATACAGCCATACAGTAAAATCTATCATAAACATCCAGTGGGGCAAAATTGTGTCAGATTAATTATTATATTCTAATTCTGTTTCTCTACCAGATTTTCTTTTATTTGGAAATCTAGGAAAGAAAAATAAGTTATTTTCTTTGTGCTCAGTACTTAAAATTGCTGTTCACTGATTTGTTTATTAATAAATATATATATATATATTTACAAATAGCTTTATATTACATACACTTGTGAATTAACACGGGACTTGAAGGTTGTTGTGAAAACCTGAAGTTTTCTAGAATTAAAAATTTGGTAAAAACAATGGATTTAAACATTTTAACTAATACCTTATTAATCCTTAATGAAAATCATTTAAAACCTCTAACAACTCCCCTGCTGTTTTATATTTATTTACTACTTTTGTTTTAGTCTGGTACATAAATCCCCCCCCAAAAAACATAAAGCAGCTGATCTACAATCAACTCCAACCAGATTCCCTGCCTTTGAGAAGTATTCCAGTAGCATGATTCTGCCACCACTGTGCTTGACACTATAAGATGTCCAATAATGGGTTCTGTTTCGAATTCATGCAGAGATTATTAAAGGGTATTAGTGTAAAAGGGCTGAAAACACGTACACTCCAACCTGATTTACTCTTGCTGTTTAAAGAACATTATATTTTGGGGGGAGGAAGATATTCTGAAGTTGCTAAAAATACATTTTGACTCCAATATGGCAAATGTGTTATCTTTGTGGGTGATCCAGCTCTATCCAACCTCCTCTGTCACACACACACACACACACACACACACACACACGGATAGACAGACGCAGAGAGCTCTGCCCCCTGGTCACAGATGGGTCCAGAGCATCTCTGTTGCTGGATGTCACACGGGGTCCTACAGGCTGTCTTGCTGGGTGCCGTGACTGATTATTTCCATCTTCCGCTCTGTCAGGAGAGATGGAAAATCATACGGGCCTGAGGTGGCGCTCCGTTATTGATATCACTGTTAAAAGTCTCCGATCCAGCTGCTCGCCTCGCCTGCAACATCACTGCAATTAAATCTACATGCTGCTCCCAGCCTGTCTGTGTGGCAGAGAGTAATGGCCCCAATAGTTACTGTAACAAAACAATAATGGAATTCATCATGGCAGTATAACAACCACATACATATGCGTATACATATATTTACCTGTGCCCAATATGACAGGGGGATAATGGGGTTTTATTACCACTTACAAATAAAAACGAGCAACACAATAAATCAGATACTAAGTGGACTTGTTGCACACAAACAATTAAAAATGGCCTTCTTTCATATGAGGGATTAGAAAGACTGTAAAGAAATTCATATTGAGATCTTCTCTTCCACTTTGCATAAAAAAGGCAATATTAGGTGATGAATATGGTAATGGTCCTCATTCTAGTGGGACTATCTCCTTTCAGAGGGGAAGATCTGGTTCGGCTGTTAGATTCGATTAATTCCTCCTCATGCCACTCCTCATTTCTGTATCCCCCACCACCCTTCCACCCCCCAGCCCTGCACGTCCTCTCTAACACTTTCAGGCCTATAATATTAGACCAACAATCGCAGAAACAAAACGAGCTGGAACAACCAGGATGGGAACAGATGGCACATAATTGCCTCGTGGAGGAAGCCAGGGAGTCAATTTTTACCCATCCTGGGGGAGTTTCAGTAGCAAGGAGGGGGGAGAAAAAAAGTGCAGGTGCATTTGTTTTGATCAGCTTTGGCCCGGAGGAATCATCTGAAGAATATTCATCACACGCACATTAAGAAGGGGGAATTTAACAAAAGCTTTGAGGGATGCTACGGTGAGCTTTGGCCAGGCTAAGATAGAGATGAGGGGTGAGCTTAGAGCAACAGATGCACCGCGAATTAATATCGCACCAAAGTGTTGCAAAAACTGTCAAACTCTCAGATGGTAGCAGTCTGCCCACAGATTTACTAAGCACTTTTTCGGATGCAATGATTAACAATAAAAAGATTCAACAACCCTTTTACTGGTATAAAACATTAACTTTCATTATTTACTTTATTTATTCACATGGAAGCAAAATCTGCATCACTGATTTCAATATATCCCTTAAAAATTATATAATATGTTGCATTGAGCTTATCAAGATGAGGCTTCACTAAATAAAATTTATGTTTAATAATGATGATGCAGTAAATTTTTTACTTTGCTCAATTTTAAACAATATTGATGTATCAACTATGGATTTAATAAAATAAAAGAATAACAGTTTATAAGGGGGGCATTTATTTACTTCTTTAAAAGCTGTTAAGAAAATCTACGGAAGAGGATTAGGGCCACTGAAAAAAAAAAAAAAGTTAACTGATTTTTTTTATTTTATTTCAGTATATTATGGGAAAAAAGTCAGAATTCAGACTTTAATCTCAGAATTCTGACTGAATTCTGACAATAAAAAAAGTCAGAATTCGGAGAAAAAAAGTCAGAATTCAGAGAAAAAAGTCAGAATTCTGACTTTTTTCCCATAATATACTGAAATAAAATTAAAAAATCAGTTTAGTTTTTTTTTTTTTCAGTGACCCTAATCCTCTTCCATAGAAATCTGTTGATGAACCACTTATATTATGTTTTACTCAATACATCAGTGATTAAAATTAACACCTTTAGGCAGTAAAAGCGTTGATTAAAACACTCTTAACATTAAATATAGTTCAATGCTGTTTGATTAATACTATGATGATGGATTATTTTCAAAAGAAACCTTGGTTTAGATCTGCTTGATGTAAAAATCATTATCTTTTAGATGCAATTGTTAACCAATTCAGGCAGTAAAGTGTTAAAGTAAAGGTAAATAAGCTAAATTGTAAACAAGGATGGAAAGGTACTGCTTTATTCCTCTCTCATCCTGCAGCAGCAGTTCTACTTACTAAAGCGTTCCACTGCACAGCTTGTGTTTGTCTTTTTTAAAAGTAAGAGGGTTTAAGTATCTTAGCATCTTGTGATAGGATAAAATGATAAAAGGACAGAAAGTCTAGGATTTCATTCACAGCATTGATGATGTTTTTCCACTAAACCTGGGATCAACTGTTTCCATCGACTGGTCAATTTGCTTTCTAATCTCTATGGCCAGGTAAAATTTTATATAAAATTTTACATTTGATATTATACATATCTTAGTAGACTTGAGCCAAAACATTCATCTTTAATAGGATGGCTGGGTGTAGAAAGATGTCAGCTAAACTGGGGCAAAAGCCAATGTCACTACCCGATCCATCCCGGAAGTACGATCCATCCTGCACATGCACAGGAAGATATATATCCATGTTTCCATAAAAAATGTAATTATGGTACTAAAGTCACTTACTTCTATACTTAATTCACT